TCTTCCGAGATTGCAGATGCCCATTGTGGAATTGAAGTTTCCGGAAGGGTGATGGATGCCATTACAGATTTAACTTCCTTGATCTTAGTTGCATCTAAGTCAATATCAGAACGATTGTCTGAACATGACCAAACTTGTAGTATTTCTGAAGAACAACTCTGAAATATGAGTGTAATGTTAATCCTAATTGATTGAGTGCCTTACCAAGTGTTTAAGACAGACTGGTAAACAAACAGAAAAATGATCTCTTATATATTTTCTATAATATATATTGAATCAAATTTGAGTTGAGATTAAAAAAGAATTTCCAAAATCGAATAAAACAAAAACATACTGATTAGAAATTTTTTGGTTTACTAAATAGTTCTATAATAGATGCTCTCATTAAAAAAGAGCTTACTTGCTGGGTCTCCACTGTATGAGCAGAAGATATTTGAGTAGATTCGTCAAATCCAGATAACCATTCATCATTCTTAAGCAGAAAAGAAATATATTTAATTAATTTTAGAAGTTTTCTTTATTAGAAATGATAAAAATTTTTGCCACTTGATAAAAAATTACCTCTTCCCTATCCAATATAGGATCTACATCAGTAGATACCTGGGATAATGGCATATATCCTGCCATTCCTATATCCTCATCATCACTGTCTTCTTCATCATTCACCATTCTCGTATCTAGCAGTGCATTGGAAACTGTCAGATTTTCCTGAATAGATTCATGTGTAGGCTCAGGCGACATGGTATGTGTTGACAGTATGGGCACTGAACATAAATATTTTCATCTTAACAAAACAACGTTAAATATGCATGACAGCGATAATTTTGAAGTCTATCACACACAACTAATGTTAACAAAATATAATAATACCCAAAGAATATACGTACAAATAAACCTAAAACTGGCTATACAAGATTAATTTTGACACCTCATTACTGTTTGTCCTTCTTCATCTTTCTCAATTACAAACGCAACTGTTAAGTCATAGATATAATAAGAATAGATAAAATATTGAGAAAGATAACACGTAGTCTGAAGAATATGTAGAAAGAGAAGAAAGATCTAATTAGAAGCTCTATTTCTTTCTGACGAGAGAAAATAGATGTAGATGTAGACTGAAC